TCAACGGCGATGCTTGCAAGGGTGGTGAGAATATTTTCTCGGTTTGCAGATCGGAAAAGGGGTTTTAAGGGTTAGAGTCGCGAGTGACTTGCAAGAGATGGACGCGTTTGCTGACCCAATAGTTGGACGAGTGCTCCCTTACCGAGGAAAGAGAAGATGGTTATCTCTCACACTGGGTCCGTTGGGCAGCAAAGTTCTCTGTCGCTACCATCATACACCTCAATCGATATATGATTTTTGTAATCTTACAAATACGAGGTAAACGGAAATTTTGCGACGAAACACCTCTCTAGGCACCTCCAGCTGGGCATCCATCTCTATATAACCTCAAGCCACATGTGGCTGGTGAGCACGTCTTTTCGGTTCCACTTTGAACAATCAATCTCACTGTTCGTCCTATTATTGATATGTATCTACTCAGCCAGTATACTCCCATCATCAAAATGGTTAAGCCACAGGTATTCATAGATAATCCGATCCGACACATGCAAAAGGATGTGAGTCCTGACTCATACGGTGAAGTTTGATGTACACATACATACCTATATAACCGGTAAGTACAGGTAATGGGCTCAGTCTCTGGCCAAGATACAAACACCTTTACACATTTCAAAATGAGTTCTGCATACTCCTCTGAACAAATCGACCTGTACGAAGAGTACATTTCTCTCCCCTCCAAATATCGACGGAGAAACAATCCTGCACTTACTCTCGACTATCTAACATCGCTACACATCCATCACATCTCCACTATTCCTTACGAAAATCTACTGCTACACTACTCACCCGATCACTCGGTATCTCTAGACCCTCAAGCACTCTTCACAAAAATCATAACCAACGCTCGAGGAAGAGGTGGATATTGTTTAGAAGGTAGCACATTTTTCAATCACGTGTTAAGAGCACTAGGATTCCAAGTATATACCGCCGGAGTCAGGATCAGACGTAGATCTACACACGATGGTGTTCCACGGGGGAATTATATCGGCTGGTAAGATTACCACCCCTCACTTACCTTAAATACCCCTCGCTTACAACACAAACACAAACCCAACCTCAACCCCTCAAAACTAACAGCACTCCAGGTTCCACATCGTAAATATAGTCACACTCCCCAACACCCACAAATACATGATCGACGTAGCATTCGGCGGTGACGGAGCCACCAAACCCCTCCCCCTCATCTCCGGTCACACGATTGACAATCTCGGAACCCAGGAAATTCGTCTCGTGTACGAACCCATCCCGCAACAAATCGATCAATCGAAACCTCTCTGGATATATCAATATCGCAACGGACCCGACAAGGAATGGAATTCTTGGTACGCGTTCAATGAACATGAATTCCTGCCGGAGGATTTCGAAATCATGAATTATTTTGTGAGTACGAATATGAGCGAGAGGAATTTTCAGACGAAGAATGTTTTGATTGTGGCTTTTGTGACGGGGGAGGATGAGCATGGGAAGGAAATGATTGTGGGGAAGAGAATGTTGATTAATGGGGATGTGAAGGAGAATATGGGTGGGAAGACGCGGTTGGTGAAGGTTTGTGAGAGCGAAAGTGAGAGGGTGGAGGTGATCAGGGAGTTTTTTGGGATTCGTTTGACGGATGAAGAGGTTGGTGCTATTAGAGGGAGGAATGTGGAGTTGAGAGGCTCTCATGCGTCGGTGGAAATCTCGGGAGTATAAATATCTCACTGTATTGGTATAAACAGATATGACAAATGCAGTCAGGGAGAACACGATAACTCTCTAGAATTCTCTGCTAGAAATGAGGATATAATTGTTGGGTGGTGAAACACTGTCTGCGATCGCATCTTGCAATGATTAAGTATTTGATTCCTACCCTTTAATACGCGTGCGATGGGGCGATTTTGAGTGCGATAGCGCATGGTTAAATCCTTTCGAAAAACACCAATTCTCATAACTTCTAGCATCAGATTGCACCAAACCCATCAGATATCTCTGCCAAATCTAGCTACTAAAACCGCAGTTAGACGCGCCCCCAAGAAGAGAATCCGCCATTTAGATGCAAATGGATGATCTACCCGGACCCTCCATCTCCAAGTCTCCAATCCCACAGACCTGGTTCTCCCCCAAAGAAAAAGAATAAAATCATAACCAAGAATAATTAATCTCTCATCCCCGTCCTCTCCTTTCACTTTTCCAATATCATCTAATGATCTCAGAATGCTCGAGTGAGACTTACAAACCATAGCTGCATACATGCATGCAAGTTATTTATCAACTACATGCGACTTCTCGATCTCTCTTTCCTATACTTGTAACGAATCGAATCATTGATCATTAATCGATATAGGGATTACGATGCCCGAGATAGAAGTTCGAGAACGAATGATAGCCAAGCTGAGTAAGTGGATTGAGTATTGTGATGGAGATTTTGGATGGTTATGTTGTTGGTGAATGGGAATTAGATGGTGTGGATTTTGTGAGAGGGGACTTGGAAAACTGTGCTTAGGTACCTAGGTACTTGTGATATGAAGATGTGTTTTGTGAATGGTCGAGAGATGGAGATTAGATGGTTGGTGCTAAGGAATGGGAAGAGTGGTGGAGTGATGGGATGGGGTGGAAAGTGGAAAGGCTACGAGCGAGATTGATCATATAGAGTAGGATGAAGAGAGAGTACAGAAGAGAGCTTATGGAGATAGTCAACGGGCTCGGGTGAGGAGAGATATTGCGTGATATTCTTGAATGAAGATATGAAATCACTTGTATTTGATGAAACCCAGTATTTGTAAATTGATAATATGCCCCTGAGATGAGAACTCCTTATTGCCCTAAAGAAAATCAAGCGATAAGAGCTATTAACATCAAAATCTGAAATCATCGGTGAGTACTTTTAATATCTATCACTATGCGGAACCATACTCAAGACTCTTTTCGATGTTACATTTATAATACTATGATATTCTAGAAATCGATCGGTACATAAGAGTAACCAGCCGAGAATTGAAGATAGTGATTTTGTATTCTAACTCTTCTCTTGAAATAGTAAGGTATTGAAAGCTAGGACATCGGAATATAGAATACCTATTCATTGTTCAAAATAGAAGTCAGAAAGGATATAGAACCACTATAGCAGAGACAGATAGTATCCGTGGATCTAGATGAGAATAAATCATCCCATCATACCACGCTCTCTCATATTCGTAGTAGATGTAATCTTACCAAGCCCGCATTAAATATTCTTTCTCAAACCTCGTATCTCAACACTCCAGCTGGTCTAAAATATCATATCTCGCACTCGCAGCGCTTTCATAAGATCATACAATAAATTTTCGCATCCATATTTCCTTCCATCAATAATAACACAATAACACAACAACACAACAACACAAAATCCAAATAATTCTCCTCTTCCCCAAAACTTAAATACACATTTCCGAAAATACCTAACACTACCTACCTACCTACAGTAAACAAATAAACCAATCTATCTTCGAATTCATCCAATTCATTCCATTCGCTCCACATAAACAACACTACAATGATCACGCATGACACACAACTTCACTCATCATACCTACCCAGCACCACCATCACATTTCTACCAAATGTGTAGGTTAAGGTTAACTTTCCCACCGACTCCGCTTACTGAATAATCTTATAAGACCTGAGATTCATTTCCTTCTTAGTCAAACGATTAACTCAACAAGAATAATATTAATCGTCGGATTCGTCAGAGCGAGCGAATACGATACGTGATGGAGATTATAATTCTCGTCAATCCATACGTGTGCGCGATACCGCTCCAATAATTCGGTTTAGAAAAGAGCCCTGGAGGATCTTTGGTTCGAGTGCCACGATACGATGGCTTGGTTGGTTAGATAGTATCGTTCACTACCAATTCCCCAGCTATAGAGTCCTTGCGCTTTGAGAATAGATGATGAGATGAGAATCACGCGGACGAATTTGTCGAGAAATGTAATGCTGGGTTTTAGAGTATTGGAGGGTACTTACTTATGTAGTATTTGTTTGTGCTGGATTTACGAGGTGAAATGTATTGAAGCTAGCCTAGGGTCGTCTGGTTTGTCGGTTCTAGGCTACTGTGAAGGATTAGATTGATTTCTTTAGGAGGGGGATAGGGCGTATCGTATCGTATCGTATTGTATCTGAGTCTGAGTGGAGATAGATATGCTTGTGGAAAAGTATGGCTACCTAGGTACCTAGTTGAACGGATGAGAAATTATCGGGATCCATATTGATCGTGGGATCAGAGGGCACTGTGTTTGCTAGTGTGGCGCTAGCACTTCTTATGTTAAGATTAGCTTTCTGTATCGTAGATGATAATGATTAAGAATATAGATAAATACAATCATAAAAGAATATAGAACTTTCCACGTATCAAAAATCAACACCAACACCTACAGAAACAGAAACAGAAACAACGAATCTCGAACAAAAGAAGTATCCAGATTTACCATGAAACCATCTCCAACAAGCCATACTATAGCGAGCGATCTCTCTGTGATTGATCCTCCAGTAACATAAGCTTCCCCAGCACAGAACAACCTTCCTTTCGACAAAAAACCCACGCCCAATCTTCTCAATCTTCTCACTCATCAGGAGCGCTCAAAAATTCTCTAGACTTATGACGAGAGACTCGCCATGATTTCAAATTGAAATTTACACATCATTTCAATTTGACCTCCATAAATAATAGCCAGGACTAATAAGAAGCCCCGTTCTAAATTCCCAAGCAAGTCTTCAGAATCACTATCCTGCCTTCTCCGCATACCCCGCCATTCCACCCCCGGGCTGTAAGCTACGGAGAACAAAGGAATCTCTGATTCTCCCCCTTGAATACTCATAAAAATTAACATTTCCGTCCGCTACCTCGGGGTACGGCTACCTCTATATTTATAAAACAAGCTTCTCAACATCCATTTAACCCCCCTAAACAAATCCCAATCCCTATATTGAACAACAGTCAGTCAGTACAACTAATTAGATAAACAAATCTAAGGGTTCAAGATTGAAGGAGTGGAAATCTTGTCTAATATTTCGAGATTCCTATATATCTACGCGTGTATAATACTGTACAAGTTTCCTTCATATTCCACCAAAAAACCCCCCTCTATCCACTACCGTGCCGTGAATTCAGACCAACATGTTGATAAGTGTTATCCCACTAAATCGTGTATTGGTTAGTAGATGTCTATTACAAGAGTCCTTATACCCTAGATTACAAAGAGCAAAAAAAAAAAAACTCACAGGTGCACTATTAAGCAAATCATTCAATAACACATTATCCTGCACTTCATTCCCCAAATCTCTATTCGAGCCATTCAATGCCAACGGATCTACCATATACCGCGTTGCCTCTGGATCAAAAGCCCAGTTCGAATTCGAGTCCATAGATTTTGAATTGCGATATGGATATGTTGTATTGGATGTTGAAGATTCTGAAGAAGGGGTATTTCCAGTTTGAGGCCAACTCAAGTCAGATTCAATTGCTTCGCTGCCTGAATCTCCTTGCGGATTTAGTTGTGGAGGGAAGTTTGCTGCAAAGGGGCAAGCAGATACTACTTTTGAGATGGCATCGTATGTTGGTTGTTGTGTGGCTTGTGGGGGCGTATTGGCAGACATGCTTCTTGTTTGACCGGTATCAATTGAGCTACGAGAAGACTCATCCTTTGGACCTTTTCTTCGGTAGCTATGAGGGAAAACGCAAACACTCGGGTCGTCTGCTTCTGGAGAGTTATGCAAATCATAAAGACTGTTTGCCATATCATTGCGATCGACTCTCTGTGTCTTAATTTCGAGTTCAAGTTGAGCAGTAAAGTGTTTTGCAATGATGTGCTTTTTCCCAACAGCCTTCATAGCTGACACCATAAACTCTAAATTGCTGGAACTTTGTGGGTTTGGTCTATCCTTTCTTGTATCCTGGAGGATAACACCAGAAGCAACATAAAGACAAAAGCCTATCCATGAACTCATCTATTTGACATTAAAATCTCTCTCACCAAAGTTTTATCGACGAGAGAACATACCTTGGATGCATCGAAATGACTTATAAGGCGCATCAGATTCGTTATTTCTTCGGCTGCCATCAAACTTCTCGCTTCGCTTTGGCTTATGAATGATTGACTGATATTTTCCCGCTCAGCAACCATGACTGCTCCTTGATGTAAACAGCTAATTCACTGTTAGAAAGTAACATCGTCATCTAGCATTGTACTTACATTGTTGCACAATGTATGTTCATATGGAAAAAGACAATGTTGGGATCCCTCAGTCCAGCAGGGAATCTGAGGTGATCAGGTAGAAACATGAATGTACTAGACAATATATTGTCCATTTTCCTGTGGTTCTTCCAGAATGAACCATTGGCGAGATCGTTGGCACCATCCTCTGGACCACTTTTAAGCGTGTGCTGGCTATTGCGACCGAACAGACACGCTGACAGGATAACTCCAGCAAAAGATGATATCGTGGAAGCACCCTCGGGAGTTAATGCCGCAGCCAACGAGCATGTGTTTTCCTTTACCCCTAAATCCCATGCATCATTGTTACATGGTAGGTTGGTATCAATCTGCAAGTATTAGTCTAATGCACTGTCCACGAAATCCATTCGTACCTTTTCCTCATCAAACATCATTGGCCATCCGGTAGCACAGCTAGACCATCTGTCACCATAGTAAGCTGCCCAGAATGTCCTTCGTCGCTCCTCCTGTTCGACCCAATCCTTCGATGGAGGTAGTAATTTCTTTCCTCCAAAAGGTCCCTCTGCATCAAGCCTTTGCAGTGAAAGCATATGACATAATCGTGCACTAGATTGTAAGTATGCAATTTTGAGATGCATTGTAAAACTTACCATCTTCCTGTACTCATCCATGCTCGACCAAAATAAGCGTTTGTGGCCTCGTAGTTACTAATGAGTGACCATGTTTGAACAGCGGGTATGCACATCAAACCCTCTCCTTGTCCCTAAATCGCATCAACATCAAGAAAGTAAAATCAGTTCTTAAAAGACAAACCTTCATCTCCGTAATCTCAGCGTATCTTCTAGCCCTCTCGTAGAAGATTTCAGCATAACTCTGGTAGTTGTCCGAAAGTGCTAGTCCTGTTAGCTTTTGTGGTGCAAAAGGGGGGGTACATTCATACATGCTGCTACCGTCATCATAGCATATCGCAAAGAAACCGGCGGTCTATGGTTTGTTGGCATATTCAGAGCGGCAAAGAATCGACCCTTGTGTATCATAGGCAAAGTTGGATGAAATCTTTCGAAGTATATTTGGAATCTGTTCCATCAGTACATGTATTTCCTTGCACTAAGAATTCAAACATACAGTTCATCCATGAGATTATCAGGAGGCAGAGGTTCTTGTAGTCCTAAACTTATGACTTCTTGGGAAAAGTAGTCTCCAATTGGTACTGTAGATGCAGTCCCGACATTTCCACTCAAGATATCGTATCCTATATTTTGTATTCCCTCATCTGTGAAATTCATGTCCATATCCATATTCATAGCATTCCAGTCCGGTTGGGTATTTGTAATTGTATTTGTAATTGTATTCAAATTCCCATTCGTATTTAAATTCACGTTCATCTCAATCGCATTGAAGGCATTGATCGCATTGATCGCATTGATCGCATTATTCGCATTATTCGCATTATTCGCATTATTCGCATTATTCGCATTATTCGCATTATTCGCATTATTCGCATTATTCGCATTATTCGCAGCGAGTTGCTGCGTCTCTGCCACGAGCTGGGTTTCCACTTGTGCCAATCTAGCTTCCAATTCTTTCATATTTCTCCTCTTTGTACCTATGTTTCTCCTTCTCTCGGGATATTCGCACTCGTGTCTTAGTCTGCCACATGTCCCGCATTTGGGTTTTACTCGATCGCATTTCAATTTCCTTCGCCTGCACGATACACATGATATTGTCTTCTCTGCGCCTTTCTCTTTGACCTCTCCTGATCTGGTGTTGGTAGGATTATTTTGTGGTGCGGTCGCATCGTTTGTAGATGAGACTGATGCCTCTTGCTCCGGGGAAGTCGACATGGCAAAGCTTCGACGATTGGTATATGGAGAGAGAGAGAGAAAGACAGAAAGACAGTGAAGGAGATAGATTACATGCAGCTTGGTATCAAATTAAGAAGAGGAATAGATTCATTAAACATAACAACAACAGCATTGAGAATCAAAGTCCTTTGCCGTGAACCTTAAAACGACTTGTTTGGCTAGCCAGACTTGATCCATGATAAGTAAGCAAGCCAGAGACCCACCAGACCTTTTCACGTCAATGACCGAATTAGGGTTTTCCTGATGTCGAGCATCCTTGTTCGATTCATGCAACCCTTGTTTGACTACGAATTTCGATTGTCGCCTTGAATACTTGAACTAGGCACCTAGTACTTGGTGTCTATCCTCGTGATTGTAGTGGCCTTAAAATATCCATTCCAATTATTGGATGCCTCGATATCTGCCTGGTACGTACATCATTCTCACTCGATCCTGGGAAGAATGACAATAGTCACGTGATTTTGTTGCATATCTGACTTGAGATGAATAGGCTGTTTGAGGGAAAGTGTGAAGATTGCCCATCTTCTCGTCTGTGAAGCTCGTAAATGCTGGAATTTGATTGGGAAAGTTTACTCAACCTCCACTAATACCCACAGTATACCTCGCAGCTAATGTCGGATCATGATAACTTACTGACTTGTGAGCTTATCCTGTCTCTGCTTCGACGTCTACGATAGGTATGATTAAGCCAGCTCAATTTCCACCAAACCGCATTCGCATTCGTGGATATCATGCAAGTTTGCTTGCTGGGCTTGGCTTATATGTTTATACTTTTGGCGTGGGTCTTGATTGATCTTTACATGACCCCTCTATCTCTATATAAATATCTATGTGGGTATGTAAACATGTTAATATATTAACATGTTAATATGTCAATATATCAACCTGTCGATAGGTATGTAAATATGACAAAAGAAGATGTAATTCTACTCAAGTAAGTGTATTTCATTTAGTCTCAAGATATTACTTATATCACTAGAGTCGGGGTTTAGATTCATAAGCATTCCCCCATATATCTATCTAATCTAATCTAATCATCATCCTCTATCCACCTTTCCATCCGAATCTATCATGATAAAAGAGAAAGATAACGTCGAATTCTTCACATTGCAATATTTATCAAAAGCACAATCTTGGCATTATGATGTCATCAACTTCAAAGTATGAACGATTTGAAGCTGCGTATCCAGTCGATCTCTTGATGATAGAGGAGTTGGTATGGTACATCATCTCAAGTACTTCCTCAACCACATAGAGAGAAATCTACCCAGCTAGTCTGCCCCCACGGCAGTGGCTCCCAGAGGGCCAGCGGAGCGTCATTCAATTGATTCTTCACTTCAGATTATGGATCATTCCAACGTCACTCACGACATGCTGATTGGTCATCGTCAGAGTCGTCAGGAAGCTCGAACAAGCTGATCTGATATACCTTGATCGATACATAATGCAAGTAAGACAATGCAAGTAAGACCAAAGATAATGGGAGAAGTTCGAAAATACACGCTGGAGCCAATGATCTAGAATTCTCGTCTCTGAAATGAATGGCTTTGTTCATTCCAAGGAAGTTTCATAGGAAGTAACCTTATATCAGCCAATTTATAGGACACAAACGGATTTCTGCAATATTTTTACTCCTTCTCAATTGCTCCATTTACGTTCAATTGATAGTCACATCGAACCCATGATTTTCTAGCACGGGGTGATCAAGGAAATGCAACTTTATGAACATCCGAAAAAAGACTCGTGAATAAGGAATACATCAAAAGGAATGTGTATCATCTCACAAGAATTCTCAAACATATTTCTCATGAGCTCCCTTACAGTTGAAGTTCATCGGAACCAATGAAAAATGCAGCATCTCCGGCGAGTTTTGGGTATCGACCAAGCATCTGATTCAACCAATACCTGCGATTTCCATGAGGTCATCGGGGGAGAGAAAACAAACAAACAGGAATGATGATGTCTTATATTAATCTGCAAAGAAAAACATGTGAAGCCATCTGCGAGAAGCAGAAAGATCACCAAGAGAGAATGTTATTGAATTCTCATGGGGGAATTGCTTCAAAATGACACAACATAAAATGAAGACAAGGGAAAAAGACGAAGAAGCCAAACACTCAATTAAGCTGATTTCAATCCAAATCGTGAAGTAGAGTCATAAACTGCAGAAAACAAGCTGTGTTTCTTCCATCAATAGACTTCATATCTCGGTAGTCACAATCTTACTGTTTAAACAAATTATTCAAAGGGGACAACAAGCAGGACACTTTGAAGACGCCATTCAAGCACATCAAGCACCTCAAGCACATAAAACATATAAAACACATAAAACAACGAAAAAAAAAAACAGTAGCAAGAAAACCAACTAAAAAAAAGCGTAACCCAGAAAATCCTTATTCCAAAAAAGCGCAACTACACTTCCAATTTCCAATTTCTAATTTCAAAAAGACATAACACTAAACTCCCAACGCACTCATGTTTCACATACATACTCGCGTATTCAATACAAAATTATAAAAATCAACGAGATCTTGAATCGCATAAATCTGCAGTATTAAATCTTCAAGATGAGGGAATTAGCAGTTAGTACTAAAAATAGTATCTAGGTAGTGAGAGAAATTATTAAGAGTGAATAGGTGATTGATTATAAACCCCTCAATCTCTCACATCTCGACTTCTCATTCTTATTTAGTATTGTTGGTATCAACTTGGTGTTGATTAAAGTGTAAAGTACTTCAGTCTTATCAATATAATTGATTGTATTATTCGTCTTGATTATTGTTATCTATGGGAAGCTAGTAATTAATATAGTAGAAGTGCTAGCGCTAGTGCATACGCTAGTGCAATACAGTGCCCTCTTTAGATTACATGATCGATATCCCGACAAGTATATAAGACAAGAGAAAAGGGATTTGACATGTAAGATACCTACTATTAGATATGTATATCTTTAATTATAGAAATTTATATAAAAATATTTCTTGAAGAAATTCAGAGATTGGAGAAATGATAAGTCGGGTACCCTATTTTCTGACCACCCCTGTTTTGGGCCATTCTTCACCACCAAAAATCTCAAAAAATGGAATTTCTAACTTTCTTATTTACGAACAGAATTTATTAAAAATTTATACATATATAATTCAGATCGTTTTGAATTTATTCTGAAATTTTTAGATTTTTAAGATTTTTCTATATTGAAATCTAGAGTTTTAAAATATCGATTTTAAATTTGTATAGAAATCACATATAAATTTAAAACTTTTATAAAATCTTTAATCACTTTCTAATAAAAAATGCTAAAAATAAATTATAAAACTTTATTATAAGTTTATAATATATTTAGTTTAAGAAATTCAGAAAAAATAGAAAATTTCCTATAAATAAATATTTAAAGGGATATCCTCAAAATGACAGGAATTATTTATACTACTCTAAACTCATTATATACTATATCTCTATATCTATTAATTTTTTTGAATTTTCTTTTGAATTTCTATATAAATTCAAGCTCAAATTTTTCAAAAAGAAATATAGTTTTTTTTAATAATTGCTATTAAAAAGTTATTAAAGATTTTATACAAATTTCAAATTTGTATATAATTTCTATACAAATTTAAAAATCGATATTTTAAAAGCTCAGAAATCGATCTAGAAAAATCCTAAAAATCTGAAATTTTCAATGAATTCTGACAATAAATAAGAAAGTTAAAAATGCCATTTTTGGTGTGAAAAGTGGCCCAAAAGGGGGATGGCCAGAAAGTGGGGTACCCGACTTATGTATTAATTGATTGATTGATTTAATTAATATCCTTTTCTCAGTCCAAAACTATTTAGGATGGCTAGGCTTTAAGAATCTAACAATTGCTAGTGGATATCTACAGTAGATATATTCAATTTGGGGGAATAAAAATGAATGCTAAAGTGCTATACCTGATTTCTATTTGGAGTGCAAATAGAGATTAAATAGTCTTTATTCTTTAAGACACTTCTTTTCTTACTTTTTCTCTATCCCTAATTCAATTAAAGTATTCTAATATCTAATTTCTCTTTTTAAAATCCTAAATCCAATTTGCTATCCCTCCCTTTCTATAAAAGGCAAGAGTTATTCCCTCCCGAGTTGCCTTCAATATAGCAAAGGGTCCTTTTGTTAGTGAGGTAGTAGAAAAAGGTATTATCACGGGGCAGGCGGGCGGGATAGGGTTCTAATAACTTTACTCTAATCTGGCAAAGTTATACTGATTCGGGTAATAGGTTCAGATTGAGGATTAAAACGTAGCTCAAAGAGCTACAATACAGGATCTTCTGAGTTGAAGATATACGGAATTTTCACAGCGAGCTAGCTCGATCGGACTCTAGCTTGCTTGTGCTTCAATACGAGTGCTCCTTTCGGTTCTCTCCGATAGGATTAGTATATTATGTGAACTCACACCGTAACATTACTCTTCTTCTAAGGGTCGAGCTCTATTGAGGTGGTATGTCACGGTTTACAATCTACAGGCAGGCGGGGTCCGATCAAGCGGAATCAGGTTTGTTAGGGTATCTACAATGAAAGTTGCAGATTAATTCTTATATGTCTTCTAGATAGCTTATAGATTCTTTAATTAGTATATTGTAGCTAATCCAATAAATAGTATATTTCAGACAAGATTCTCTACAACCTTTTCTTTTCTAACAAAAATTCAGGATTTCAGTAATCTTAAAATGCTTGAGGCTATTTACTTTTACAAAAGATGATAACGGATTATACTACCCAGAAACAGGATTATTGTATATAGAATATAACAAGTTGATATAGAAAATAGGATGAATCTTTATTGAGACCAGGAGTTCTAATTTATAGGTATAGAGACCTATTGGGTTCAAGATTTTGAAGAGCCTGAGGTTCTTCTAATCAAGCTTCTTTTGTAAACGCAGGGTCTTGATATTTCTGGTATTTAATTAGATTAAGTTATTGGGTAGATATTTATAGATAAGGGAAT